CGTGTAGACCAGGTCTTTGTAGACCAGGCCCGGGAGGGTTTAATCCTGGTGGGAAGACCTTCCTCTGATAAAGTCACTGTTTTCCAGTGTGGCAGAGCCTAGAATGTCAGTTTCCAGGGGGAAAAGACTGGTGTGTGAAATGGGCAAACGCCTCTTCTGAAATCTCTCCAATTGCTCTTTTCACCCCGACAGGCTACAGAATAACGTCCATGTTTTGCTCCAGATCGTCCCACTCTTCCACGGGAAAGGCAATAGCTGCAGCAGAGTTAGCTGAGGTATGGGATTATCACAGAGCTGCTGGTGGGTTCTGGCTGGAGGGAGATGGGCAGTAAATGTACAGAAAGGTGGGAGCTGCTGGAAGTGAGAGAGGGCAGGAAATACCCAGGGTGGGGAAGAGGAGGGGACAAACGAGTTTACATTAGGCACCACATTGAAGGAGCAGCCTCCTGGGGTTTGGGCGTGGAACTTTCCCCTATTTGTGGAACAGGAAATAACCCCCTGGCCAGGGCTGAAAAAACTTCCTAGACTCCCAGTGCTGCAGCTCGAACCCACTGACACACTTCATTATTTATCACTCTCCAAACTTCGTGTCATCTGCAAACTTCATTAGTGATATTATGTTCTCTTCCAAGTCATTGATAAGCAAGTTAAATAGCAGAGGGCCAGTAACCAATTCCCATGGAACCCCAATAGAAACCCACCCACATGACCATTTAGAGTTACACTTTGAAATGTATCAGCTGGTTTTAAATCTAGTTCATGTATGTCATGCTAATTTTGTATTGATGTAGTTGTTTAAGTATCATGTACCAAGTCAAATACGTTAAAGAAATCAAAGTATATTACATTAACGCTATTCCTTTATCAACCAAACTTCTGATCTCCTTAAAAAAAAAATCCAATTAGTTTGTGAGGGTTTGTTTTCCCTAAATGTATGTTGATTGGAATGAATTATATTACCCTCTTTTAATTCTTTATTAATACCCCTCCCCGCATTATCTTGCCCAGGTTCAATGTGAGGGCTATTATCTTGGTCATCCCTTTTACACTTTTTTTAAATATTGGGGCAACTTTAGCTTTCTTCCAGTCTTCTGGAGTTTCCGCAGTGTTCCAAGAGCTCCTGAAAAACAGCATTAATGGTCCAGAGAGCTCCTCGGCCTGCTTTTTTAAAACTCTTGAATGGAAGATATCTGGAACTGCTGATTTCAAAAACGTCTGATGTTAGGAGCTTCTATTTAACATCCTCATGAGTTATGATTTTAATGAAAAGTGTCGTTGTTGTTATAAACATACCACAACATAATTTGCTTGTTTTCACCAAATCCAGGAGAGAAATAGTCACTGAACATTTTTACTTCTTCTGTATTATTATTATTATAATAATAATTGATAATTCTGCCCTTTCCATCTAATAATGGACCAATAACAAGACAGCTCTCTTGAGGTTCAACTTAAAGGTTACAAGCAAAACAAAAGCACCTGGGGTTAGCACAGTGGAGTCCACAAGCCAATAAGAAATAAAAGAAATAACCCTAATCGTGTCTTCCTAGACATTCCCTGATTTACTTACATATTTGGGGTTTTAGATAAGTAGGGTTGAGGTATGACTTGATGCTTTTTCATACCTGGTTTTAAAGCTTTTCACAGCATAGCTCCAGCCCTGTCCTGTTCTGTCCCCTCTCTCCGGAGAACAACAACAGCCAAAGGGAAGTTTTTTTCCCAATTTTAAAAAGTTCTAGCTCTCCCATTGGCTCTTGTGGTCAGGTGCCCGCTCCTTTCCTTTTACCTGAGGGCTTTTTTAACCCTTTACAGGTAAAGCAAACAGAGAACAGCCACCACGGGGACTTTATAGCTAGCTGGCTGGGTGTCCATGAAAGGGAGCTACCCCCACTCCCCATCACAGCCCTACACAGTATCCTGGTTGGCAAACAAAGCAGGTATAGCTACCAGTCCTCGATGGAGACGTCTTTTCTTCTCTTCTCAGGCACTTGGTCTGTTGAATGTCCCCCGAAGCAGGGTCTTGGCTACCCGGAGACCCTCTGGTCCAAAAGTCCCACAAAAGTCCCTCCTAGCAAGGTTTTAGCTACCCTGACCATTCTACAGCATCACAGGCCTCTTCAGCTATTAATTGGGAACTGCTACTATACCTATGATATTCTTAGTACTTACACCCCTGGCTCTCAAAGGAGTCGCATGACCCCGAAATGTGCCCTGTGGGCATGTCATTACTTGTTTTCCTAATTAATATTTTTGGAAGAGGGCTAAAGAGGAACAGAGACCAAAGATCAGTTGGTCTATACTTTCTCATCAATCATTCCCTTGAGCTGTTAGGGTGGTGCCATCCTAAAGGGTCATCTTGACCCAGATCAGTTAGTACCAAGCTCACCGTTCAAGTGTTTTCTGCCCATTTACTTAGTGAGCTGGCCATCAACTGACTATGACAAAAGTTCCAGCGCACGTGCGTGCACGCACGCACACACACACACACACACACACAGCGCCTTTGGTTAACCATTCATAATCCATAGTTGTGTCAGCATTCAAGTGCAATTTCAGCATCCCATCTGATGATAAGAGAATCCTACTCCCAGAATCCTTTAGCAAATTCAGACCTATCAAGCCTTACTACATTCATATCAATCACAGTCATTCATAATAATTCAGCACCATCCCAACAAACATGATTGATAATACTCACTATCCTGCTGCTTTGAGCAAAGGAAGCTGGCCTGGGGATGTTACCCCTTAAAAATAAGGTGGGGTTAAATGGAATCTTTTTTGTGACAAGATGTGACTGAAAGCACCCCTGTAATCACACCCTACGCATCACTGTAATAGCCGTTGTACAAAATATGCCTTGTGAGGTATCACTTGAAAACCAATAACTTACTGGTCAATTATTCAGTAAAATGTTTGTAACAACATTGTATGCAAAGTTATGAATTCCCCTTGTATGATAATAGTAGATGTTCAAACCCACACAGCCATGACTAGGCAAAAGTTGTTAACCCAGTCTAACCTAAACAACGGAATGTGTGCTTACCTTAGTTGGCATATAAGTAATAGGGTCCTTGAGACAGCAAGAGGAGGAAATGGCAGGAGCAAAGGCAAATCTGCATTTCAGCATACACAGGGGAGAAGAATGAGCCTGGCTTCACCTTCACCGCTAGAGTCCACGTCACCTTCTTTGCTGTTTGAATAAACTTTGCTTTGAGGGGCAATCCTGAGTAGAATCCACTTCAAAGGGTACGTCTACACT